GTCCCCGGGGTGGGTCCGTAGTCTGTACCGAGTCCCCGGGGTGGGTCTGTAAATACTGAGTCTAAAAGCTGTAAGTAAGAAAAGGCTAAATGTATCAAAAAGCCGGATAAAAGCTAGAACTAACAAACTGTAGTGAGAAACTAAAAAAACAAAACTAGCTAAAATTAACAAAACACTAGCTAGAAGCGAGAAGTAGCTAAATACTAGCTAAAACTTTAAGGTGACAAAGGACTAGCAAAATGCGACAAATTACTAATTACAAGCTAAAATGATATCGTGATGCATGCTCAAGCTAAAATGAGTTGACCAAACTAGAACATAAATGTAGCAAAATTTTAGCTTGAAGCTAAATGTATCTAAATGCTAGCTAGAATATAAAAGTAGCAGAGGGCTACTTAGTATTTAAAAGTAGCTAAAGCCTAGCTAAAAGTAACAAAGAACTATCCAAATGTAGTAAATTACTAGCTAAAAGCTGAAAGTAGCAAAATGCCAATTAAAAGTAGCAAAGCAATAGCTAGAATCTAAAAGTAGCCACATTCTAGCTAGAAGCTTAAAGTAGTTTAGCTACTTAGATAAATAGCTTTTGGTTAGTGAAAAATAAAAAGTATCAAAGAGCTAGCCAAATTTAGCAAATTACTAACTAAAAGCTAAATGTAGCAAAATGCTGGCTAGTAGTTAAAGGTAGCAAAGCCATAGCTAAAATATAAAAATAGCAAAATTCTAGCTAGAAGCTAAATGTATCTAAATGCTAGCTTGAAGCTAAAAGTAGCAGAAGTCTAGCTAAAAGTCAAAAGTAAAGAGCTAGCCAAATGTAGCAAATTACTAGCTAAAACATAAAGGTAAAAAAAATTCTAGCTTAAAGCTAAAAGTAGAAAGGCAATAGCTAGAATCTAAAAAAAGCTAAATTTTAGCTAGAAGTATCAAAATGCTAGAAGTTGCACAAGGGTAGCTAAAAGTCAAAAGTAGCATAAAAAGACAAATATATAATTTGATAAAATGGATTTAGGGAAAATATTTGTAAAGGTAAATATTTTGGAATGTATAAAATAAAAATTACACAAAAAAATGGGAAAATAAACTGATAAATCAAGAAAACAATGAAAATCACAAACGTTTGAAATGTAAAGTTTTATTTTATAGTTGGTGCAGGAAAAGGCCTTGTGGAAGCGTGGCTTTAATTCGTCTTTTATCAGAGCTGAAGGTCGATAAACGGTTATTTTGAGGGTCGTGATGGTTTGAAAGCGAAGCTGAAGGAGTCGAGTCATGTGACGTGTGCTGTGCGCAGGAGAGCGAGGTGAAGTGGGCGTCTCGTTGGGACACCTACCTGACCATGAGTGACGTCCAGATTCACTGGTTCTCCATCGTCAACTCCGTGGTGGTCGTCTTCTTCCTGTCCGGTACGTCCAGCATCGTTTTATACCAGTAACATCTTTTATCAGCCGAAGGTTTTCAGAGACCTGTCGGAGTAAACGCTGAATGTTCTGCTACAGGATTAAAAGTGTGTGTTTAACTTTTCAAGCTCCTAAAATAACAGCGTACCGTATTTTTTGCCCTATAAGTCGTGTTGTTTTGCATAAGTTACGTGTCCTGTGATTTACACGCCGAAGTGACAAATATTTTTAAACCAGTTCTCGTCTGAGATACGACTGTTTTCATTCATTCATATTAACACTAACATTTTCAGCCGCTAGATTGCACTCGAGTAGTATGGCATGCCGTTAATGGGTAAAAGTGGCTATTAATGACGCAATCGACTTGCCATAGCCTGCCCCCTTCGTCCAGCTCGCCTGGAGCAACCGTCAAATCAGCTTCATTTCGCTGCGCCGCCCCAGAGAAATGCAGCTGATTTGACCACTGACGTGCATTTATTAAGTAAAAGTTCAACTGAGACGCATCTTTACTGTAATGTCGAACAAATAATTATTGTAGGTGCTTATCTCCTTTTTGATTGGCTGCCAAATGGCGGCCACGGGAGCGTGCACGGGAGGACTTTAACAAGAATTTAACAAGACAACCACCTAAAAACAATTATTTGTTTGCTCGACATTACAGTAAAGGTGCGTCTCAGTTGAACTTTTCCTTAATAAATGCACGTCAGCGGTCAAATCAGCTGCTTTTCTCCGGGGCGGTGAAATGCAGCTGATTTGACGTTTGTTCCAGGAGTTCTGGAGCGAGACGAAGGTGGCCTGTACGGCAAGACAAGTGTCTCATTAATAGACACTTTCACCTATTAATGAGACACTTGGCTTGCCATATTAGTCGAGGGCCCTCTAGTGGCTGAAAATGGTAGTGTTCAATATTTTCCATGTCAGAATGAATGAAATCATCAGATCTCGGCCAAAAATTGTTATAAATATGAGGAGAAAAAACATGTATTAGTTGCTTCAGACTATAAGTCGCAGGACTTGCTAATTTATGCAAAAAGATAAGATGTGACCTAGTGGTCAGCTGAACACGCGGTGCAATAAGTGGCTTGGTTATGTCGTTTGTACGTCCGTTTTGGTTTGTGGTGCCTAAAAACATCCACCAGACCTGACGAAAACCAACTTGTAGAACGTTTTTAAGCTAATTTTAATAATTCTCTTACAAGAGAAGAAAACCTTAAAATCAATCTGAGATAATTACACGCCATAACGTTGTTTAAAAAGTTTAATTTAGTTTTTTTAATAACAGCCAACAAGTTAAAAAAAAAAAAAAAAAAAAATGTAGAAATTGATTTAATTAACTTTGTGTGTTAATGTCATGTAGTTGTACGTCCCCAACAACCAGATGTTTTAAAAGCATGGTCTTCTTGGCTTCTCCTGTGCCGCCGTCTCTCTCAGGTATTCTGAGTATGATCATCATCAGGACTTTAAGGAAGGACATCGCCAACTACAACAGGGAGGACGACATCGTAAGAAAGCTGAAGATTAAAGACGATAACGGCGTTTTCCAAACGGCACATCTCACCGCTCACGATGTTTCTTTCAGGAGGACACCATGGAGGAGTCGGGATGGAAGAACGTCCACGGCGACGTGTTCAGGCCGCCGCAGTATCCCATGATCCTCAGCTCTCTGCTGGGCTCTGGGATCCAGCTCTTCTGCATGGTGTTGATCGTCATCTGTGAGTCTGATCCTCCTCAGGATAAATTCTCCTGCGATGAAATGGATGTCGTCATGAAGGAAGTTCACGCTTCTTTATAAACGCAACAAGCGTCAGCTGAGCAAAGAAAACACCAGAAGTCTGTTCTTTGTTGTTTTTAAGGTTCATAAACAAACAAACAAACGAGCGGAAACACACGTTCATTTTTTGGGCTCGAGGTTTATGTCGGTCACTTTAGGGTTCTTCGGCTGCTTGAAGACCCTGAAGATCATGAAAGGACCACGTACGTGACCCGTGCTGGTAAAACGAGTCTGAATGAAACGGAGACCCGTCCATTGTCCCGAGTCTTCTCCAGGGTCTCCTCCCAGTTGGACATTCCCATTCAAACCTGCTTAGGGGTGCGTCCAGGGAGCTTTCCCACCAGACTTCTGAACCACCTCAACTGGTTCCTCTGGATGTGGAGCAGCTCCACAGTATGGAATACGTTCCAGTCCCTCTCGAGGTCTCGCGTCCAGAGCTCGGAGCACGTCGAGATCTCAAACTCACGCACGTGCTCAGGCTCCTTCCCCACCGTGTCCCAAAAACCTGATACCCAAGACCTGGCACCCTGTCCCGGACTCGTGTGGACCCTCCTGCAGGAAGACCAACCCAAACTAGGTCCTTGTTGTCTTCTGTGATGAGTCCTCGTTGTCCAGCTTCGTCCTGGTCAGATCAGTTCTCTGCTTTTGACCCATCACACCTGAGACACCCAGGTGGAGCAGTGGGAACTAGTTGGGGATTGGGTGTCTTGCTCAGGGACACCACGACATGTGGGCATGGTGGGGATTCGAACCGCACCTTTCTGGTCCCCAGTCGGCCGCCCTGCCTCTACACCATCTCAGCCCCAGTCTCTCCCCCCCCCCCCCCTCCCCCCAGCTGTAATTAAGACCTGTAGAACACAATGACTCCATAAAGGTCCGGGGAGTTGAACCAGCGACCTTCCAATCAATTCTCTAACCTCTGCACCACCACACCCCACATTTCATTTAAAAAATAATCTTTTTAATTCCAATTCTTTACTTTTCATTTTTAATTTCACCCTGCTTTATTTTAACATGGGAAATCCCTTCGTATAATACTTGGCGGCGTCGTGAAGCTCGGGAGTTTCTTTTTTTTTTTTTTTTTTACCATAAGGTTGTAATTCCTGCTGACGTCACTCCAGACCAGTAAAAATCACATTTCAACAAACTGGTTCGTGGCGCAGATTTTGGTCTGGAGAAAGATGGACCGAGTCGTCGCGGTGACTCGTTGTGCCGCGCGAGTCACGTCCAAGCGATTCGTTTACACTCGTTTAAAAACGGATCTGTAAATCGTCACCGTAAAGGAGACGAGTTGTGCGTTGACGCAGAACGCTCTGCTCCCGTCTGTCTGCAGTTGTCGCCATGTTGGGGATGTTGTCTCCGTCCAGCAGGGGCGCCCTGATGACCACGTCCTGCTTCCTCTTCATGTTCATGGGGTAAGACTTCCTGAAGCTCCAGCTCAATCAACCACATTTAAAATAAATCGTTCCAACAGGAGCGTGATTGAAATTCTACGTCTTTTAATGTTGTGGATGTTCGTCCTTCAGGGTGTTCGGGGGTTACTTCGCCGGCAGACTGTACCGCACACTGAAGGGCCACCGGTGGAGGAAAGGAGCTTTTTGTGTGAGTTCATCGGTTTTAAATAAAACCGAACGTTCGTTTCGCCTTTGAATTAACTTGTTTGATGCTAAATGTCAGATCTGTGTTTGAGCCGTCCACTCGCTCACCGTCCTCAGATTTAGAGTCGCATTTTGATTTTTATACAGTATAAACTAAACGTTGGCTCTTTGTAAAGATTATAAAGTTTGTTTGAGTTCAACTCGTCTTCCTTCGCAGACGGCCACTTTATATCCCGGAGTCGTTTTTGGAATCTGCTTCGTCTTGAACTGCTTCATTTGGGGCGAACACTCCTCCGGAGCGGTGAGTCTCAACGCTTCAAAAATCAGAAAATAATCCGAGTTGGTGAGTTTAACGCTCAAACATCAAAGAGAAATTAGGAATCTGTTTCAGGTTAAAGTTATAAAAACTGAGAAAACAAACTTTGTGTTTATAAAAACTCTGTTGACATAAACGTTGGAGACAAAGTTTAAAATTAATTTAATGTAATCTTTGGCATAAAATCATTCAAATCTACGAGAAACTTGAGTTTTATCTGATTTATATCCAGATTAAATTAGATTTTAGCAGTTTAAAGCTACAGTTCAGATATTTTCCGGTGAGGTTCTTTGTAAAGTTTTTGTTCAAAGTTCACGAGGAGTTTCGTTCCGACTGGATTGATGAGCTAACGGCTAGTCTGATCAAAAGTGACTCGTTGTCTTAAAACGGTTCCAATCTACAAAAACTTCATACCACATATTGTTGAACATTACTGGGTTGGCTTGTGGTGTACCTCAGGGTTCTGTTTTCGGGACCCATTTTATTCAGGACTGTTCATGTTTGTATTTCTTCGCGTTTGGACTTTTCTAGCATCTTATTTAAGTGTTCAAACGCGAAGGAACCCGACTGTCTTCAGGTTGTCCAGAACTCCGCTGCGTGACCGTCAACGCACGTAACCGACGAGCGTCACGCATGTTTGAATTTTCATCGCTTGAAAATAGTTTATCCATTTTTTTAAGCTCGTAACTTGTTCCACAATTTTTGTGCTTTTCGGCAGTTCATATATCGAAACGTTCGGCTCATTCAGGACATTCCTGCTCTAACTTGTAATGGGGGGGGGGTGTTGCGCGTCGTTTGTGTCAACAGTTGTTGGCGGGGGGGGGGGGGGGGGGGGGGTGGTGAGGGTTGTGAAGGAAAGGGCTCAGCGTATGGGAGACGGAGCGCTATCTCTGTAGCTTTTTAGCTAGTGCGTCTATTGCGCGCTGCTAGCTTAGCGCTACGTTAGTGTTGACAGGGACAAGGAGCTCGGCTCTGTTGACAGGGCGGGGCGCCCTCGTCTGATGGTAGAAAAACACTGCGCACACCTTTGTTCTTTTCTTGAAGCACTTTGTGATGTTAAATGTATAGAAGGTGTGTTTTATTTTATAAACTTTAACATCGTCGTCAAACAGTTGTATACACGTTAACAAGTTAGCTTGTTATATTAATCGTGATGAAGCAACCGTTTTAATGCCAAATTAACTGCAGTACTTGTACGTGAAACGTTTTTTTCAGCAGTACTTGTTAGCTTGTTGTTTATCCTGAGCTGGAGTTTCGCTGCAGGATTCTCAGATTTCTGTGAACCAGTCGGTGAAACGGACCGTCGGGTTCAGCAGCGGGTGTTTGGCAGGAATTCAGGAGTAAAAGTACAAAAACACGTCTTGATGCGTCAGAACGTCTCCTCTCGCTGCAGGTCCCCTTCACCACCATGCTGGCCCTGCTGTGCATGTGGTTCGGTATCTCCATGCCGCTGGTCTACCTCGGGTATTACTTCGGCTTCCGCAAACAGCCGTACGACAACCCGGTCCGGACCAACCAGATCCCCCGGCAGGTCCCGGAGCAGCGCTGGTACATGAACAAGTTTGTTGGGTGAGCGTCCGTTTGTGGAGCCTCAGACGTTCCTCGTGTGTTTGAACGCCTGAGACGAGCTTCTCTCTCCTTGGTCTAGAATCCTCATGGCCGGGATCTTACCGTTCGGCGCCATGTTCATCGAACTCTTCTTCATCTTCAGCGTAAGTTCAGCGGGTCGCCTCGTTTGTGCTTTAAATTTAACATTTACATTAAATTAGAAACCCTGTTCCTGTTCTCGACACCAACAGGCCATCTGGGAGAACCAGTTTTATTACCTGTTCGGCTTCCTGTTCCTGGTCTTCATCATCCTGGTGGTCTCCTGCTCCCAGATCAGCATCGTGATGGTTTATTTCCAGCTCTGCGCCGAGGTGAATCTCCTCGACTCGTTCGTGTTCTGACCTTTTTAAAACCAGCAGCCGTGTTTTTTTCCTGCACGTTCTTGAGCTTTAATTTGTTTTTGTTTGCCGTCAGGATTACCGGTGGTGGTGGAGAACGTTCCTGGTGTCAGGAGGTTCCGCTTTCTACGTTCTTATTTACGCCATCTTCTACTTCGTCAACAAGGTAAACAAACGAAATAATGAGTTATCAGTGTCTTTTAATTTGAAATTGTCAGCATTTGACAGAAGACTTCCTGTTGGCTCGGATATTTGGATCTTTTAGAGCGAGGTTCTGCAGAGAGGTCGTGAACGGTTAACATCTTACCTGATGTAGATGGTTTTTTGAACGACCTCGGTTTGGAGAAACGGTTTAATTCTGACTTGACCGACGAGCAAACGGCGCGGCCGAGACCAAAGTGGATTTGTGTCGTCGTCACGCGACTCCAGTCTCCAACTCTTTGGTCTCGGCTGCGCTCGAGCGAGCCGTTAGCTTCCAGCCACACCTGGTTCTGTTTCTCTAAACTGAGGCGCTTCACAGAGCGATCTACAGCAGGTAAGACATTAACTGTTCGTACCGTTTCCACAGAGCCTCATTTTAAAGGACGTCGGTTTCGATCAGAACAGAGTTTTTATCGTTACGAATCTTTAAAGCGTTCATGTGAGGAAACAAACCCGTGATCCATCATCACCAATCCTAAAACAAATATGGATTAAATACTGTGTTTACACGGGACACGTGTACTACGTGAGTATTTACACACAGATGTGTTTATGTGAGTGGTGTTCTTACAAATACAGATGTTGAAAGAATTATAAATATTAATGGAGAAGTGTAAATTCTTCCTGACTCATTTTGAACAGGATTACTCTTATTGTGGAAATAGTTCTACCGTACCCACCACTGCACCCAGTATTCACTGGTTAACTGGTCACCATTAACTTCACAGACTCTCCCACTGGTACATTTTCATCTTTAAATCACTTCTTGGTCTGCTGCCTTCATACATCTCCTCCTACATGTCTCTGCGTGAGTGCAGCTACAGCGTGCGCTCTCAGGACATCATTACCTGCAGTGTCCCCTCTGTGAGGACTGAACTAGGTCAAAGGTCATTCTCTTACTCAGCTCCTGTTTCCTGGAATATCTTGTAAAAAGATCTGAAGCTCTGACTCGGTGAGACTAACCTGTTTAAATAGTGAATTAGTTGAACAGCTGAACTTTATTTTTCAAAAACTGTCCCCATAGAAATACAAAAAATTATCTTCAAAAACATTTTTTCTTTTAAAGAACGTTTCAGTGCATCTGCTTTATTTTTGCCTTCTGTTGCTACTTTGAGCTGCTAGTTAGCTAAATCAGCCACTAGGGAGCATGACAGGAGAGACAGAGACGTTGGACATGTATGAGGACAGCAGGACAGTGGCGAGATGTTCTATAGGAGTGACAGCTTCAAGGTGGAGGTGGGAGTGCGTCAAGGATCGGCTCTGAGCCCCTTCTTATTTACTCTAATGATGGACCGATCACGGGAATTCCTGCCTGACCTCATCTGTTGACTATGATGTTTGCAGATGACATTGTGATCTGTAGTGAGAACAGGGAACAGGTGGAAGAGAACTTGGAGAGGTGGAGGTATGCACTTGAAAGAAGCGGAATGAAAGTCAGCCGTAGTAAGACAGAGTCCATGTGTGTGAATGAGAGGGAGGAGGTGGAACAGTGAGGCTACAAGGAGCAGAGGTCACAAAGGTGCAGGACTTCAAGGACTTGGGGTCCACTGTCCAGGAACATGGGGAGTGTGGTAAAGAGGTGAAGAAGAGAGTCCAGGCAGGATGGAGTGATGGAGAAAAGTTTCAGGAGTGATTTGTGGCAAAAGGGTGTCAGCAAAGTTTACAAGACAGTGGTGAGAGCAGCTGTGTTGTATGGTCTGGAGACAGAGACATGGACAAAAAGACAGGAGACAGAACTGGAAGTGGTAGAAATGAAGATGTTGAGGTTCTCCTTAGGAGAGACAAGGATGGAGAAGATCAGGAATGAGATCATCAGAGGTACAGCACAGGTTGAACAACTGGGAGATAAAGTTAGAGAGGACACACTGAGATGGTTTGGACATGTCCAGAGGAGGGACAGTGGTTTGGACATGTCCAGAGGAGGGACAGTGGGTATATTGGTAGAAGGATGTTAGACATGCAGCTGCCAGGAAAAAGACAGAGGAGATATATGGATGCAGTTAGAGAGGACATGGAGGTAGATGGAGTGAGGACAGAGTGAGGACAGAGGACATCTTCACAATAAAGCCGTGTATGAATCGTAGTTTGATAACATGAAGACCAACTCGTTGTTTTGTCTTCCCAGCTGGACATCGTGGAGTTCATCCCGTCCCTCCTGTACTTCGGTTACACCACCCTGATGGTTCTGACCTTCTGGCTGCTCACCGGCACCATCGGTTTCTACGCCGCCTACATGTTCGTCAGGAAGATCTACGCCGCGGTCAAGATCGACTGATTCGTGCGCTCACGTTCTCAGACTCGTTTGTTTTTCCTCACTTTTTATTTTTTATAGTTTTTTTGTTGGAGCACGGACTTTCAGTGCTGGAGGGACCGGGCTGGTTTCACGGTGCGACAGCGCCGCCTGCTGGCCTAACGGTGGACAAACTGTCTCCCGTCAGGACGGACAGTCCACGTCTTCTGCCGTCTCACCTTCAACGCGCAGCGGGCCAAAGCTTGTCAGACACTTCCTGCACTTTCCCTCGTGTGTGTGAACTCCGTGTGTAGGTTCAGTTTGTTACAACAGATCGGACTTTTTCTTTGAACGACTTCCTGGGAGGCGGTTTTTCTTCTCATTCCTCTTCTTCTTCAGAGACTTTAACAATCAGGGTTGAATTTAAGGTCACAATGATGGAAATTATGTTGGAAAGTCTGTAACAGATAAATTAAATGCTTTTTTTTTTAATCCTGCTGTGGCCAACGATAATTAAAACTAAAGTTCTTTGCTCTAAATGTGACGCCGTTGGACTGAAGGCGACGAGGACCGGCTGCTGCGGGACTGAAGACACGGAGCATGAGACTCCTCGTCGGGCTCGTTAGCGGTGCTGAAGCCTGCAGAACTGTTTGTCCTGGAAAGACGGCGACGTTTAAAATCAAAAATAATTTTGTTTTTGTTGGGAACAGCTTCAGTTTGTATCCGATGTATGAAATGTTTCTGTGGACTGTTTTTTAAAATCATCTCACGTCTCTTCTGATTCAAACCACGTTCGTCTCGGCTGATCGGGCCCGTCTCATTATTTTGTACCAAATGTCTGAAGAAGCAGCGTTGCCGCAGTTTGCACGTCACTTTGTGCGTTTTGTTTCCCCCAAATTGTTTAAAATCCAGAATAAATTCAAAAGGGCTTTCCAAAGGCGAGTAAACATTTAAATTTGAATCAATTTCTAATCTAGTTACAAACAGTTTCTCTCTTTGGGTCTTAGAACGGCAATATTTAACAGTATTGTTAAAGGGAGAGTTTATGAACAACAAGTATCTTACCTGCTTCAGATAGCACTTTGACAAGCTAACAGTAGAGAGTTCAGGTCGGGAACAAAGTGCATTGCTGCCGTTCTAAAATAACTAAACTTAAAAATGATCTGCGGTTCTTTAAACCGTTTGCTAAACTTTTACATCGGCGCCCGTTACGAGCAGCAAGTGCTACAGCTAGCTGCTGTTAGCGCTTCATCCCTGAACACGACGTAAATATTCAAGTATCTCATATTTGACGTTGACGTAAAATATGGGAACAATTAAAGCATTTTTATTAAAAAAAAGTTTTTACAGCTACGCTCTTTGGTCTCGCTCGCCATTAACTTGTCGACGTGTCGGTCACCTGCGACGGATGTGTACCGTTCATAATCTTCCCACTTCAAAAGAGCTGAACTATTCCTTTACGCAGGTTTTATTGCCGTTCTGAAGAGTCGGAAAAGTTTTACCGCTCCGTTAGCGTCATTTGTGCTAAGCTAACCAAGCTTTTAGGCTAATCTCTAGAAACGCATGAGAACAGTTATTTTTCTGGTTTCTGATTGGTTGAAGCTAAACAGGAAAGCCCGTTCACTGAACTATCAGAACCAGCTGCTGCGTTTCGGCCATGAAGATAAAATTAGCAGCTGAAGCTTTTAGAAAAATTTGTTCAACTTTACGTTGAGATTTTGAACCCCCTGAATAAAATAAAAACATTCATTGACTTTCTGGTTTAAATGAAGTGCCGTCATTGAGAAGAGTCTTGGATCGACCCAGAGGTCAAAGTAACGGGTCGTCTGTCGTGCCAGAAGAATTATTATTTTTCGCCAGACTTCAGGTTTCAGCGTGCGTCTGTACAGCCGAGGGTTCTCGTTGTAAATAAAATAAAAAACAGCTTCGTGTTCGTCGCGTTTCGCTGTCGGTGGCACGCTCCGTAACGGTTCCCGTCGTCGATTGTTCGCCAGAAGCATGACGCTCCCGAGGAGTTTCAGAGGAACTCGTTTTGGTTTTCTGTTACAGAGTGTTCAATTACAAAATGTACGACAAAACAATAAAGTGACGAATATGAAGATCAGCCTCCAGAGTTTTTAAACTTGGCTCATGAGTCCAAATGTCTTAAAGTTCTTTGTGTAGTTGAATCGTGTGTTGGCAAAATATCTCAAGTACCAGAGGATGAACGTTAATAAAACCGAGTCGGAAAATAATCATCAGATGAACTAATGGAGCCAGTTCAAGATGGCCGCTACAGCTAGGCAACCTCAAACACAAAAATGGCCGACTTGTAACAGATTGATAAATTTGGTGTGGTAGTAGCTGAGTCATCCATAACGCAGAGCACCAAGATCAGTTCTTGAAGTTATGCCAACACTGTCAACTTCGCCTGTTAGCAAAATATCCCAATGGACTACAAGGATTTTAACAAAACTCGTAATCGTACGGTGTACAACTACACTTTTAATTAACAACCAAACTGAAAATGGCCGCCACAGCTAATCGACTTCAGACAAAATCTAAATGTTTTTAACCTGTCCAGTTTTAGAAAGAGATAAATCTGAAGTGGTAGTAGCTGAGAGTCATTCACAACACATGCGCTGAGTGTTACATAGGATGCCAAAGTAAAAACAAAAAAGGGACTTCTCATAATCTGGAGATCATCAGTTTGTGTTGGGATGACTCTCAGCTACTACCACTGGGTTACAGCCAGTGTTACGTTGGCTAACATCAAAGAGCTGTGGCTGCCATCTTGAATCTACTCCGTTATAGACGCGCGTCAAAGAATAGTTTTGTTCAAATACCGTCACCAGTTAGTGCGCATTCAGATCCAGTTTGTTCCTGCTGTCAATCACGGCCGCTTAACTAATACTGTGTTGTTGATCTAATTGCAGAAATGTCTAATCATTCAGGATGGTTGCCATGACTTGTGGGTCTTGTGCCGTTTATGTTTTTTGAAATATTAAGCTTTAAGCTCTATTAGGATACGTTGGGAAAATTTCTGTAGTTTGGATTTGGTCCAACACCGTTCCCTTCTGAGAACTTTTTAATGGAAGTTCTACAGGAGACTCCATTAAGGAGCCCACAAAGGTCCAGTGATCACAGAACCACAGGGTATTCCTTCCAACACTTAAGAGTTATAGAAGTTTTAACTGTTCTGCAAAAGAATGCTTGTTGTCTAACTGATTGGATCAGGTTTTATTGACAAATATTACAACTATATCATCGGCATAACAATGAAAATGCATCTTATGTTGTTTAATAACTTTACCTAATGGAAGCATATATAACATAAAGAGTAGTGGTCCAAGCACTGAACCCTGAGGAACTCCATGACTAACTTCGGTGTATGAAGATTGAAGAAAAACTTGTCCACTACTGCTCCATCAGCTTTCACATCATTACACTTTAAGCATTTTAATGAGATATTCTTTTTATTTTTTTCCACATAATTTTCTTTTCCTTTAGTTTATGAGATATTTTCCTAACAGTTTAACAAACACAAGACCTATCCCCTTTCTTGGCAACTAAAAAAAAACAACGTAAAATAAAATTGGGTGTTTCCTCAGGTTTAGTCTTGAAACTTAACTTTTTTTTTTGACGTTTCAACTTTAAAATCAGAACTCGGAACAGTAAAACTTTTCGTTAACATTTTTTGACTAATGCGAAAGTAAAGTATTATTTTCTGAGCCCGAGATAATTTACTCTAAACATTTCTCTTACCTTTGTTCCGTTCTTTATGTTGCTGCCATTTTCTTCTCATTAAAGCTGTAAAGGATCATTTTTGTGGACGTGAGGCAGAGGATCAGAGTCTGGAATCACAGACAACATTAGTGAACATAATTTCTTAATTAGCAACAGTGTTTTAAATAAAAGATCTAGAAGCTACAAGATTCCCACACTGTTTACCGTAGATGAACTGAAGAGATCACGCGTCTTTTATTTTTTAATTAATGAAATCACCACACTGCGTTTCTGAATTTCTCTGTGTGGAAGTCCGAGTTGTGATTTCTTATTTCAAATTTATTTACAAGCTCTTCAGGTTCCTCTGAAAAATACTGTACAAAACCAAAAGTTTATATTCCTGAATTAATTAATTGGTAAATTAATTACTAAGATTGCAGATGCTGTTGTGGGATTGCCGGTATATGATTGGTTTAATAATCTGGAAAGATCCCAAGGCAGCATATTAAGATATTTTCACTTTTAAAGTTTTCTGCATGTACAAATTTATTATCACTTTTTGACATTAAAATTAAACCCTTTCAGCAAATATTATTACAAAATATGATGTACATTAATAAGTAAAACTTTAAAACATTAGTAATTGTTGCTCATTTTCAAGGCTAAATAAATACAAATATGTATAAATTGTATGGCATTAATATCTTACCTGTTGTAGATGGATGTCAGGAAAAGAAAATTATGATTAGGCTGAAATGCTAACGGCAAATCTAACTTTACTGCTAATCTGAGCTAATGGCTAATTAGAGCTAGCTAGCAGCTATTCTCAACTAGTGCTAATCTGAGCTAACAGCTAGTCCCAAACTAATCAGCGCTAATGGCTAGTTTTATCTAATTGCTAATCAGCGCCAACAGTTGCTAATCTTTGCTATTGGCTAGCTAACAGCTTGTCTGAGTTAATGGCTAATCAGAGCTAATGGCTGTTCTGAGCTAATACCTAATAAGAGCTAAGAGCTAGTCTTAGCAAAGCCAGGACTACACTGGATTAAAGCAATCGTTATCCAACTCTAACACCCCCCCCCCCACACACACACACACACACACACACACAATAATATTAAAATTGCAACAATTTGAACTTAAATATTTTATTTACCTTTGAAACTCAGATCTGGGAATGACATGGAATCAGACTGACCGCGTTTCTGCTGCAAGTTGGAAAACTGATGTGTGTTAAATTGTGTGCTCATTGACCAGCTAAGTACAATAATCAACACAAGTCTGTAACAACGGATTTCTTTGCATTCGAACACCTTATCAACATGTTTATTAATAGTGTCTATAAACTAAAGTACTTTACACCATTGGTTGGTTCTCTAACTATCTCTCAGACCGGAGGCAATGTGTTCAACATAATG